CTATCTCTCTCTCCCTCTTCCTTCCTCTCTGAAATCAATAAAGAAATATATTTAAAAAAAAAAAAAGAGAGGCTGTCTGTCAGCCAGTCTACCCAACTGTGCCAGGCACCTTCACACCCAGACCCTGTACCCTCTGCCCCAACTACTCACCAAGAATGTAGAGTTCACCATCTGAGGACACTGCGGGGAGGGAAACGAAAAGGCCCTTAGCCCTTGAGCACCTCAGCCTCAGCATCCTCCTAGTGCCCCTCCCCCAACAAGGGCAGAAATGCCCTGGGAGCCCAGAGGAGAGGGACTCATACCACCCAGCCCCCCTGTGCACCTTCTTCCAGTGTAAAATCCCGCGAGACCGGTACTATCTGGTCCAAACAGACGTCATCCCCAGTGATGGCCATCCTCCGGTGTGTATACAGGAAGAGACTAAGGGCAGGAAGCAGAGGTGAGGACAGGGCCCGATGGCCGCCCGATGGGCCTGTGACAAAAACGGTGCGACCCCTTTCCCTCCCTGGACCTGAACCTCTTTCTCCATCTGTAAAGTGACGGTGGTGGATTAGAAAATGTCTAAGGCCCCTTCCTCCCAGCTCTGCGATCCGCTTGCTGGTGGGGAGACCTTTGACAAGTAGTAGTATTCTCTGTGTGTGTGTAACACGTGGGTGTTGCTGACAGTTTCTCTGTGCTTCAAAGTGTATGAGACACTTTCCATGTAATAACTCCCTTGAACCTGGGCAAACAGGTCTTGAGGAGTAAAACCCCTTGCTCAAGGCTGTGTGGCTTGGAAGTAACAAAGCCTGGATTTGAACCCAGGCCATTAGACGCAGGATCTGGGCCAGTATGTTAAACCGCCTCTTCTCCAGAAGCTTTCTCTTCTTATGTTGAGGATTATATGAGCTAATACGTATGGAGAGCTTAGAATACAGTATTCCAAAATTATTAACTATCATTAGTGTAATTATTCTAGAAGACTCAGACTCTGCCCAGAGGGATGGTTGAAGTCCAGCTGGAGGGTACTGTGAAGAAAAGCCCCATGGCCCAGACAGGTAGGGGCCGAACCCCTCACTTACGCGTGTTCTTGGCCTCCATGTTCCAGGCGGTAGCGCACGAGCCCCAGGAGGCGGCTCTGCCTGCTGTCTCCCTCACACAGCACACCCTGCACTGCCTGCTGCTCAGGGTCAAGGGAGATGAAACAGGAGGCCAGGGCTCTCCCATCCCAGCCGGCCCCACCTCCCCTGCTTTTCCCTTGCCCACACAATTCACTGTGTGACCTTGGGCAAGTTGCTTCACCTCTCTGAGCCTTCCCCATCTGTGAAATGGGAATAATAAACCCCAACTTCATGGGGGCAGGGCGGGGGGGAGTCCAGTACCGAGGAAGTACTGAGTAAATACTGCTTTCCCTCTCCCTGGATGGCTGAGAGAGAGGGAGGAGAGCATGTAGATACATAGACTTTCCTTTCCACTTCCAAGGCCAGGCAGGCCCTGGGGCTGGGAGCTCAGTGCTGGGAAGGATATGATGATGCAATATTCCCCTTCAGCCAGCGTCTCCTGGATGGCCACAGACTGGTCCATGCTGGTCCCTGTTGAGCAAACACACCCCGGGAGGGTAGATGGGAGGCCCCTTTAGTTAACAAGTTAGCCAGGAGGCGATGGGGCTGCCGCAGAGGGCTGAGGGGCAGGGAGGAGGGGCGCCTGTGCAGTGAGAAGAGAGGATGGGCCTCGGAATGTTGCTAAGGAGAGGGGTTACTTCTTGGCCCCAGGTGGGATGTACAATCTGTTGTACCGCCCTTTTTCTGGAAGGGTGCCTAGTTTTTCCCGAGAGGGGTCCAGTGCACTGTGGGAAGTGGGGTGCCTGGTCCCATTAATGGGGAGGGGACACGGCCCCATTGCTCCTGGGATGGGCTCTGCCTCCCTTTGGGGAGCAGTATTCGTCCTGCTGGCTCCTCTTCGGGAGGTGTCAGTGGTGTGTCTGCATGGGGCTGGGAGAGGCATCCTGTTACTCTTTGGAAGGGAAGGTCTCATCCTGGACAAGGACCCCAGTCCTGTTCCTCTTTCCCTGGAGACAGGAAAAGTGTCCCGTAGCTCCTTGGCCCTCACCCCCATCCAGTAGGCCCCATTGCATCAGCCACAGGCCAGCGGAGTGTCCGGTTCTGGCAGCGCAGGACAGGGGTGCCAGCCCTCAGCTTGCCCGCAACCTCCTGGCCAGCTCTGCCCTGGGTCCCCCCTCCCAGCCTGCTGTCACTGCCGCCTACCTCCTCAGCTGTCACCGCTGGGTGTGCGGGACTCCGTGGCCCGCGCCCCTCCAGTGACTACATTTCCCAGCAGCCCTAGCGCACACCATGGCCACCCAGCCTGCAAGTCCCAGCATGCCTGCGTCAAGCCTGGGGGTCTCCCCACCCCTGTTAACTCCTTAGGTCCTGGGGTGCGCGGGCTCCCTGTTCCGGGAAGGTTTTCCTAATAAATGCCCTGATCTCCACCCCTGACCCTAAGTCATGGGGCCAGATTTCCCCGCCCACGGCCTGCAAGGAAGGTGGTCACATTTAAGAGAAAAAAGGAATGCATTTTTACTTTCTCTTCAATTCCATTCTGAACCCCTCTCAGCCAGGTGGGCCAACTCTGGCTTCTGCTGGAACGCTTCCTCCCCAGATGACTACCCTGTCTTAGCTGAAAGAGTAGCCCGTCTCCAGCTGGAGAAACTGAGGCTCAGAGACGCGATGCAGCTTTGCCAAGGGGCTGCAGCCAGCCAGTGGCTAAACGGAGCCTGAGCTGAAAGTCTGACTCCAACTTCTGCGCACTGACACTGCCACGCACTGTCCTGTTTCCTCCCTCAGCCTCACGGGAATGTACGATGTGCCTTCGAGAGAGAGCACCCTGTCCCGCCTGACTCACAGAGCTGTTTGAGGACGGTGGATGTGAACGCACTTTGTGGAGGGTGTGACACTGTTCCTATATACAGGATTATGCTGAGACCCATTCCTCCCTCCTCCTCCTCCTCCTCCTCCTCCTCCTCCTCCTCCTCCTCCTCCTCCTCCTCCTCCTCCTTCTTCTCCTTTTCCTCTTCCTCATCCTCCTCTTCCTCCTCTGGAAACTCTGTCCTTTCTTGTTCTCCACCCCCTTCCCCTGATTCACCTGGTCACCTGCACTTGGGCAAGGCCCTTCTCAGTTTGGCCTCGATTTCCCCATCAAAGATGAGGAGGTTGCTCCAGATGGACAAGGGCCAGGTCAGGTAAGGGAGGCCAGGACTGGGCTCTCTTGGCCTATTGGCCACTTCACTAACTGTAACCTCGCTGTCTTTTCCTCACCACCCGGCACAGCTGGGCCTCAGAAAGTGTTGGTTGAATTAGTGAATTAATTAATGAATTGTCTGAATGAATACACCTGCTCTCAAGCTTTGACCCAAACCGAAGGGTCAGTGCTGGGGAGGGAGTGACCGCTCTGACTTCTAACCAGCGCCCCTCTTCTCTCTCTAAGCTGGGACTTGCTGCCCTCACAACAAGTCCAACTTTGAATATGTAAACCAGTTCCAGAAACAGATACCACCTTCTTCCCCATCCTCTCCTCTTCCTGGAAATTCCCACAGCACAAATGGAGCTCAGGTTTATTTGAATTTGACTTCAAAGTCACGTGGGGGGTGAAGGAAAAGGGGATCGAATTATACCCTTAGAGATAAACGGGATGGACCTCACTGCAGGAAAGCAGGGGAACCCCAATTCCAGCCCCACTCTTTTGTTTTAAATATATTTTTATTGATTTCCGAGAGGAAGGGAGATGAGTCATTGATGGGCTGCCTCCTGCACGCCCCCTACTGGGGATCAAGCCTGCAACCTGGGCATGTGCCCTGACCAGAATCAAACCGTGACTTCCTGGTTCATAGGTCTATACTCAACCACTGAGCCACACCAGCTGGGCTCCAGCCCCAATCTTAATGTCAAAGGCTGGGGAGCAGGATCTGGGAAAAGTGGATGGGGCTGGGCACTTTTTCCAATCTGTCCCTGTAGGACTTCGGGGTCCTCCCACTTGATGGGGGTCAGAGGGGAAAAAAAATTGCTCTGTTTTTCCCAGATAAACCCCAGCCTCTCCTTGGAATTGAGGCTAAGGCCTGGCCCCTTGGAGGACACCATGGCCAGGCCTAGGTGGAGGGAGGCAGGAGTGAGGAGCCTTGAGCCCAGAGCTGTGGACTTGATAAATCCCTTTCACTAAAGATACAGCTACAGGAATCAGAGCTGGGGGTGGGCCTGGGGGCTTGCCAGGCCTGCAGGGTCTTTCTGGCTGTTTCTCCCTGATTCGGCTGGGCCTGCCTAGGGGAGCAGGGCAGAGAGGAGCAGCAGCATGGCCCCAGCCAGGGACCAGTGCAGGGGACTCCTGGTGGCCCCTGAGGCTGCCCGGTTGAAGTGGAGGCTCCCATCCAGATGGAGGCAGCTGCCTGAGGCTGATGCGTGGCAGCACTCCTGGCAGCAGGACTGAACCACGGCCCCGGAACACCTGTGGATCCCTGCCACCCAGGCTTGGCTGCAACCCGCAGTGTAGCCCAAGCTGGACCGTTTCAGCTGCAAGAAGAGATGGGACCGTTCCTCCTCCCCTTGCCCCTCTCTCCCACTCACAGAAGCAGAAAGTGTTAAGTGGGCCATGGCTGAGCTGAACCTCTCTGGGCTCCTAGCTCCCTCTCTATGAGGTCCGCCAAGTAGTCCCTAGAGAATCTACAGGGTGCTCAGAAACAAGGGCCCATGCCAGGGAGACTTAGGAAATTCCAGCTGCTGCCCGGGATGAGGCATAGTGCAGAGCTGAGAGGCCAAGCAGGCTAGACCCCAGGCAGCCTGGCTCCCAGCAGGTCCAGCTCCAGCCAGACTTGGCTGCTGACTGACTCGGTCCAGGCAGAAGGAGAAAGGCCTGCATTTACGAGGCAGGACAGTGCTCCAACCCTTGGAGCACTCCAGGGGCCCACCTCACAGAAGTCCAAGCCCTCAGGGCACATGGCCACAGCTTTCTGGCCTTTGAAGCATTCGTTGCCTTGGCAGGAGAAGGTGGCACAGCTTTTCTCCTGGAAGAGAAATGGAGGGGAGGTGGAGGGGTAGGGAGCTCTCCTCAGATTGAACAGGGAGTGGATGACAGAGAGGCGAGGCTGGAGCCCCATCATGCCTGTCTCACTGGCCCAGCTACCACATGCTGTCCGTCCCCGCCTCCACCTTCCAGAGCAGGCAGGTGTGAATGAGACACACATTTCGGGGGGGGGGGGAGGGGGGGGCTGGTGGAGTGGGAACCAGCTTGTCCTCTGGGACGATCAGGTGGCCTAGACCTGGGTCAGAGCAGGGTTTCCCAGGGAAGTGCTGTGATACCCCTGCAGGGGGCAATTCTGCAAAGTCCCAGTCCCCACCCCAAGGGAAGGCATCTGTGTGTGGACAGTCTCCACCTGAAACTCCCCCCTTTGCTGCCACCCTAGACAAGCACAGGAGATTGTTCTGGCTGCCTTTGTGCTTGCGGGGAGGGCACACTGGTTAAGCTGGGCTGGGGAAAGGCTTGGGGACTGGGAAGGGAGTCTGGAAGGGGCTGGAGCACTGACGGTAGATGGCTCAGACGTGCGGAGTTGATGAATGAAGTAGACTTCAAAGCTAAGGGTCAGCCTGGCAAGGTTTAGGAATGAGGTATCGATAGAGGTTGGGGAGTTGGTGAACACTGAGCTCAGATTTGCGGAACTGTCAGAATGAGGTTCAGAATTGGGGGGTGACTAGGTGGACAAGGCACGAATGGGTGGGGCTAAGAGCTAAAGAGGCCAATGGAAGCAGGAGTCAGAGTAGAGGCTCCGACTTGGAGGGCAATAGAAGAGAGGCTGGTGGGCCTTTCTCACCCGCGGCCAAATCATTGAGCACCAGGCAGAGTGGCCGCCACTGCAGCCCTGCAGAAAGTAGGGCCCGGGGCAGGGGGCCGAACTGTTAGCCAGCAGGCAAGGGCTGAGTCCAGTTTCATTCCCCCCTCACAACCATGGCTGCACTGGGCGGTGTAGTGGGAGGTGTTGAGTTGAATCAGCTGGATAAAGAGTACAGGGGTGGGGGGAGGCCAATAGGGGGATAAGGACACATATGTAATGCCTTAATCAATCAAGAAAGAAAAAAAAAGATAAACAAGATGGACAAACCTTTACCCAAACTCATCAGGAAAAAAAGATAGAGAACCCAAATAAATAAAATCAAAGAAATTCAAAGCAAAAAAAAAAAGAGTACCAGGGAGTCCAGGAGGATGGGGATGGGGGACACAGCCAGTCCTGGGCTGTAGCTCAACCTCTCCCGGCACCTCAAACAGACGCCTCTCCCTCCCGCTTCAGTCTCTCTCCCAGTACCTTCCTGTAGGTACCTGAACAGCAGTCCCTTCCAACGGCCCCAGTCCCAACCCCTGCAGCAGCCCTCATGGTCGCCTCCCGCCCGGCCCCCAGCACCCCCACCCACACCTCACAGCGGTGCTCCCCGGACTCACACTCTGCCATTTGGCTGGAGAACTTTGCCTCCTTGGAGCACATCCCCAACGCAGTGCAAGCGGTGGCATCTCTGCGGAAGGGTGTGAACACCGCGGCCTCATTCCCTTGGGTGGAGCATTCAGAAGGCTCTCTCCCCCTTCGTCTGCTGCTTACCTGGGCAGGAGCAGGGGTCAGCTGACTTCTGACCAGGTTCTGGGCTATCAGTAAGACCAGCAGGAGGACTGGTAAGAGGAAAAGGAGAGAGGGGACCACTGCAGGGAGTAAGCAGCTCAAGGGTCACAGGTCAGGGAAAGGTCATGCAGTGGTTAAGTAGAAGAGGTCATGAGGTCACGGCAAAGAAAGGGCAGGCTCAGGGCCCAGCAGTAGTCATGGGTTAGGGTTGGTCACAGAGTCCAGGAAAGACTGGGTGGAGGACAACTACCTCTGGGTAGAGCAGCCCTATGGCTACTAGTGGCCGGAGACATCGTCTGTTGAGGTGCTGCAGGAGCGGGAGAGAATGAAGGACTGGTCCCGGGCAGCCCAGGTGAGAGCTGCAAGCAGAGTCCCATTATTGCACTATGCAGATGAGAAAACTGAGGCTGGGGAGCAGGGGAGGTCAACTGTAGGGGAAAAGGGGTACCAGAAGCTGAGTTTTTGTTTCCCGAAGTCATACTGTCAGTGACTTTGATGCAGGCACAACAGGGCCTGCAGCCTAGGAACAGCCCCTCTGAGAGTGAACGTTGTTGTTGGCATGGCAATAGCAGCATCCCAGGGAGACAGAGTTGGAGCAGGTGCAGTGACAGGAAGTAGATATCCGGTGCCATTGCCACTGATCTGGCCTCTTTTGACTCCAATAGGACCTGGCCTGGGGTGGGGCGGGG